TATTGTAGAGATGAGGTCTCGCTGCCCAGGCAGGTCTCGAACCCGCGGGCTCAGGCCATCTACTCCCATCAGCCTCCCAAAGGCGCAGGATTACAGGCTGAGCCACCGAGCCCGGCTCGAGACCTCATTTCTACAATAAATAAATAAAAAATTAGCCGGGCATGGTGACATGTGCCTGTAGTTCCAGCTACATGGAAAGCTGAGGCGAAAGGATCACCTGAGCCCAGCAGGTGGAGGCTGAGGTGGCTGTGAGCGTGCCACTACACTCCAGCCTGGGTGACAGAGTGAGACTTCTAATCAAATTAAATAAATAAATAAAACTAAAAAAATTTGCTGGGCACAGTGACACACGCCTGTAGTCCCAGCTACTTGAGAGGCTGAAGCTGAAGAATCTCCTAAGCTGAGGAAGTTGAGGCTGTGGTGAGCAGTAATGATGCCACTGCACACCAGCCTGGGCAACAGAGGGAGATCCCAACTCAAAAAGAAAAGAAAAGAAAAAAATAAAATTTTTTATCTTCATTCAATATTAGTTCTATTCTAGTAGCATATAACTCTTCAAGTTTTCACTTGGTAAAATGCTATTAAAACTTCTTCCTTATTAAAAATGTTTTGATTAATAAATCCACCGGGCTTTAATTTAGGTATCTTAAGGCCCTTTCCAGCTCTACGAGTCTCTCTAGAATATACAAGCTTTTTTCCCTCTGTGTTGTTGGGATCACTTCCTTTCCATGTGAGAGAGTGGGTTAATAGTTCTGATTTAGCACTTGTTTCTACAATGTCCCCAATACACATACTTAATTTAACTTTTCTATCAATAAGTCAGGGCTCCAAGATTTGAACCCAGAATACAAAAGAAAATATGATTATGACACGGCCAGTGAACAGTCATTATCTAGTAGAATAGTGTCCAGGTAATCGAACATACACACACATCTTTTCTGAATTAGTACTGTACACTTGTTTATGTTCATGACCATTCTGGTTCACTGTAATATTGAAAGTACCTCTGAGTCCTCAAATGAAATTATTATTTTTTTTTAATTGGTTTTTTTTGGAGTGAAGATCTCACCCTTTTCCCCGAATGAAGTGCAGTGGCAAGATCATGGCTCATTGCAGCCTTGAACTCTTGGGATGAAGTGGTCCTCCCTCCTCAGTCTCTTAGGTAGCTGGGACTACAGGTGTGAGCCACCACACCCAGCTGATTCTCAAAATAAATTATTTAGAACCGTACTGTGGAACTTTTTAAAAACTGTTGTGAACATTTTATGAAACCGCAGAAGAATATTAGGTAAACTAAAACATACTACTGTCTAGTGGTGCTAGATAAATGAAATTATATGTATTAGCTAAAGTATATTTTAAAGCTAAATATAAACTTGTTGGGAGCTATAAAGGGAAACAAATCCTTTTCCGATTGTTGTACTACTTCTGCATTTAAATTTAAAAATTTTCTTTAATATTTACTCGCTAGTCTTGCCATATGGGACATAAAAATTCTGTTAACAGATTAAATTTTCAAAAATAAATGCTTGTTATGCTTAAGTGATAAAATGATTATGACTGAAAAATTATGACCGGGCTTCGTGGCTCAGCCTGCAATCCCAGCACTTTGGGAGGCCAAGGCGAGCAGATTGCCTGAGCCCACGGGTTCAAGACTCATCTGGGCAACTTGGCGAGACCTCATCTCTACAATAAATAAAAAAAATTAGCCGGGCGTGGTACCTCACGGCTGTAGTTCCAGCTACTTGGAAGGCTGAGGCGGAAGGATTGCCGGAGCTCAGCAGGTCAAGGCTGCGGTGGCTGGGGAGCATGCCACTGCACTCCCAGTCTGGGCAACAGACTGAGACTCCAACTCAAAAAAAAAAAAAAAAAGAAATTATTCAGAATAAATAATAAAGTATTTACTGTTCTTACTGACAGTTCTTATCTCTCTAATGTAAGGGATGAATATTTGGCTTAAGTAAACATTCATGATTAGTCAGTTAGAGTGGATATGACTCACTTCCCAAGGTCTTGATGAGTGTCTTTGGTTGTGCAGTTAGCTTGAGCAAACAAAATAATGATTTTAATATGTTTTTTCTTACAAGATGGTTTTTGGTACCGTTTTCTTGTAAATTTACTGGTAATTCACGTTTTGGAGATTGAAAGGGAGGACTGACAATTTAGTAACTTGCTTTAAAGTAACCAAGGGCCCGGGTGTGGTGGCTCTTGCCTGTAATCCTGGCACTTTGGGACACCAAGGCCAGAGGATTAACTGAGCCCAGGGGTTGGAGCCCAGCCTACGCAACTTGGCAAGGCCTTGTTTCTACAATAAATCAAAAAAATTATCCAGACAGTGGCACGTGCCCGTAGTTCCAGCTGAGATGGAAGAATCGCCTTTGCAGGTTGAGGCTGCAGTGACTGTGAGCATGCCACTGCACTCCAGCCTGGGCAACAGAGAATCCGACTCAAAGATAGATAGATAGGTAGACAGAAAGGGGGGGGGGAGAGAGAGAGAATAACCAAGGAGTCATTTCTTCTTCTTCTTCTTTTTTTTTTTGAGTCAGAGTCTTGCTCTGTCGCCCAGACTGGAGTGCAGTGGCCGCTCCTGGCCACCGCAACCTGTTGGGCTCCAGTGATCCTTCCACCTCAGCCTTCCAAGTAGCTGGAACTACAGACATGTGCCACCATGCCCCGCTAATTTTTTGTTTTATTATAGAGATGAGGTCTTGCCATGTTGCCCAGTCTGGTCTCGAACCTGTGGGCTCAGGCAGTTCTCTCACCTTGGCCTCCCAAAGTGCTGGAATTATGGGTATGAGCCACCATACCTAGTCTCATTTCTACTGTCTTTAGTGCCTTCTAGCCACAGCACTGAAAATACCATTTTGCTGAAATGCAAATATACAATCCAGCAAGGGGGTCCCAGGCACATGTACAGAAACAAATTCAGTGTGTTTTTCAGACCCTTGTCTAGCCTGATACTCCATCACTGTGCTTTCTGCCTTCCAGTTCTCTCCTGCGATATGGTGGAAACCTGTCCCTCCAAAGTGCCATGAGTGTGCGGTTCAACAGCAATGGGACCCAGCTCCTTGCCTTGAGGCGGCGCCTGCCCCCTGTGCTGTATGACATCCACTCCCGCCTGCCGGTGTTTCAGTTTGACAATCAGGGTTACTTCAACTCATGCACCATGAAAAGCTGCTGCTTTGCAGGAGATCGTGACCAGGTAAGTGTTCTCTGCGTCCTACATCCCCACACTTATGCTTTTCTCTCTGACTCTTCTTTCTGTACTGTTTTTTATATCTCACTAGTGTCATATCAGGTAGAAACAATTAAGGGGAAACAGTGAATATCTAGGAATGTTTCGGCTTAACAGTAGTAAGTTTCTTCATCTAAGCTGCCAGTAGGTACACACAGGGTACACACCATAAACCAAGGCTGGCCACAGTATGGTTCTGAGCAACCTACTTCTGCCAAGTTTGGGGACAGGTTTTAAGATTCTAAGATTCTCCCATTTCAAAAGAAAGGAGAAGTCCATAGAAAACTAGTCTGTCAGTGCTTTCTTTTTTTGTTTTTGTTTTTTTGAATGAGTCTCACTCTGTTGCCCAGGCTGGAGTGCGGTGGCATGCTCACAGCCTCTGCAGCCTTGACCTGCTGGGCTCAAGCAGTCGTTCCACCTCAGTCTTCCAATAGCTGAAACCAGAGGCACACGCCACCACGCCCAGCTAATTCTTTTGACTTATTGTGGAGACAAGGTCTTGCGAAGTTGCCAGACTGATCTCGAACACCTGGGCTCCAGCAGTCCTCTTGCCTCGGCCTCCCAAAGTGCTGGGATTATAGGCGTGAGCCACTGCACCCAGCCACCAGTGTTTTTTAAAAAAATCAGTAAAACACTATGATGAGTGAAACACTCAGAGACATGTATTTAGAATGGCCCCTTGGTATGGCGTCTTCTTCTTGGATGAAGTGGGCTGAGCGGCTTTCTTTGAGAGGGAGCCAGATGCTGACTCTGTCTCTTCTTACTGCCAGTATCACAACTGGAAAGCCAAGCTGTGAGTTTCCAGCCTTTTCTCAGTCTCACTGGAAATGGAGTTACTGATGTTGACTTAAAACTGACAGTTTAAAAGTGTCCTTGACAGCTGGGCTCGGTGGCTCAGCCTATAATCCCAGAGCTTTGAGAGGCTGAGGTGAGTAGATTGCCTGAGCCTGCAGGTTTGAGACCCGCCTGGGCAACTTGGCGAGACCTCATCTGTACAATAAATCAAAAAAATTAGCCGGGCATGGTAGAGCACGCTTGTAGTTCCAGCTACTTGGAAGGCTGAGGCGGAAGGATTGCCAGAACCCAGTAGGTCGAGACTGCAGTGGCCGGAAGTGGCCACTGCACTCCAGTCTGGGTGACCGAGTGAGACTCCAATTCAAAAAAAAAATAAATAAATAAAATAAAAGTGTACTTGACCTTCATTCTTGCACCTGTCTATCCTGACCATAGACGTTCTGAAGTGGATGTCATTGACCAGTTGAACTGGTCTGGGTAATCAAGCTGAGTGAAGATAAATGGAAACAAAGAGTGATCAAATAAGCAAATAGAATGTTTTTCTTTTCAAGCACAACTGTTACTACCACTTCACATATAGATTGGGAGAAAGAAATTGTAGTCTCTGGCTAATGCTTAGTGTTCTCATCTTTGGGCCCATGAATGATGTCAATTTCTGACATATAATTCTCACACACTGTACCCCACTTCTTTAGAGTTATTTTTGGCATAAAAGAAATGTAAGCCGGGCTCGGTGGCTCAGCCTATAATCCCGCGCCTTGGGAGGCTGAGGTGAGTGGATTGCCTGAGCCTGCGGGTTCGAGACCCGCCTGGGCAACTTAGGGAGACCTTATCTCCACTATAAATCAAAACTAGCCGGGCGTGGTAGCACGCGCCTGTAGTTCCAGCTACTTGGAAGGCTGAGGCGGAAGGATCACCGGATCCCAGCAGGTTGAGGCTGCGGTGGCTGGGAGCAGCCACTGCATTCCAGTCTGGGTGACAGAGTGAGACTCTAACTCAAAAAAAAAAAGAAGTGTAAAGGAGGCATAAAATAAATAATTGAGAACCTGACAAGACCCTGCTTTTTGAAGACTGAAGCTAGGATTTTTCTCCTTAGGTGGAAGTTGCTAAAGGCTCCCGAATATCATAGTTAAGGATTAGTGTATGTAGTAGGAACCAACCAGTCAATTGTTGAATTGACTTGTGTTTAGATAGATAAGAATATTCTTTTTAGCGGGGCTCGGTGGCTCAGCCTGTAATCCCATGCCTTGGGAGGCTGAGGTGAGTGGATTGCCTGAGCCCGCGGGTTCGAGACCCACCTGGGCAACTTGGTGAGACCTCATCTCTACCCTAAATCAAAAATTAGCCGGGTGTGGTTGTGCACACCTGTAGTTCCAGCTACTTGGAAGGCTGAGGCAGAAGGATTGCCAGAGCCCAGCAGGTCGAGGTTGCGGTGGCCGGGAGCGGCCACTGCACTCCAGTCTGGGTGACAGAGTGAGACTCCAACTCAAAAAAATATATATATCCTTTTTAAGTTTTTCAAGCTAGAGATTTCCCCTTTTTATAAATAGAGACTGTTTATCCACGTTCAGAATTTATGCTCAAAGTGGAGTATTAGGGTCTCTTTAGCTTAGTTCCACACTGGACACCACTAGGTGGCCTCAGTTATACAAGTGAAGTCTCCACGGGGAGGCCACAGTGCCTGAATGACTTAATTTTTATCTGCCTATATGGTGCCGCAGGCAATTTGTTTCTTGGGTAGCAAGAAGCAGTTTCTAGAGATGATCAGATTCATAATAGAACAGATAATTGTCTGCTATGCAGAATGGTGGATTTAGCCTCTTTTGGCTGTGGAAATGACAATCAAAGCCCCTCCCATCCTTCTTTCCCCTCTTTCTCTTCTCCTTCTTCCTTTGATTTTGTTGATTTTTCCATCTTCTGTCAGCCTCTTATACATGTGAGTTTTACTTCATTGAATAATAAAGATCATGCTGTGTAGGTTTGTTTATAAGTCATTATTGCCAGAAACATAGGGGCTGAGGAAAAGGGGAAGGAGGTGAAGAAAGATGGATGCTGTGTTTTCTTCAGGTTGTATTTCACAGCGAAAGCCTGTTTCCATGGAGTTCTTTCTTAAGTCTAGCTAAAATGGAAGTACCTAGACTGTTGTTTCTCACCCTCAGCACCTATCAACATTTTGGCTGAATAGCTCTTTGTTGTGTGGGGCTGTCCTGTGCATTGTGGGAGTTTAGCAGTGTTCCTGGTCTCTCCTTACCTACATGCCAGTAGCATCATCCTAAATTATTCTCCAGAGATTGCCATGTCCCCTGAGGGAAAGTTGCTTCTGGCTGAGAAGCTGCGATCTGATCTAGATTATCATTACCCATCTTGCTTACATGCATGGGGCAAGTATTGCCACTGGCCGAATCCCACAAGGTATCTTGTGATGGTCCTGGGTATGTACATCTAAGAGTTGTTTTTGCCTTTCAGTTTATATATAATGATAAAAATACGGATGGCCTTTGATTTTCTCCTATGAGATTTGACTCTTATTATTTGCGACTTTTGCCCTGTGGAAAGAGTTTATGGATATTATATTCTGACAGACGAAACTGCTTTTTGGTTGGTGTAAGTGGTTTTTCTTGGGTAAAGGTGAATGTGAAGTCATTGAATCCAACTTTGGATCAATTAACAGAGTTGAAGTCCCAAAAGTCTGTATTCCCCAAAAGTCTGTATTCCCCATACAGATTATTAGGAGTATATACTTTAGGGAGTTGGAAATGTAGAGATTTGACTTCTTTGTTCATTCCTCAGAGACTAACACATGTTGCTAATTCATCATTGTCTTGATCCAAATCCTGGCACACAGTGAGAACACAGTAAATGTTTGTTGAAGTGAATCTTGAGTACTTTGGTTAGTGTGTGGTGTTTAAGTTTCTGGGTCTAAAAGGCTTCTCTAACTGTAAGTCACGATTGCAAAGTATCATTTTTTCCTGCTCAACTTTCAGAAGCCTTTAGGGGGATGAATTAAATAATGAATTTGCAGTAAAACTAATCGACTGAGCTTTTAAACCAGGCCTTAGAACATATCTCTCAAAGGTGATTTATAGGCTCTGACTTTCTACACTCTACTAAAGCAGCAGCTGTCACGGTGACAGTGTGATCTGCAGGACTGATGTGTATATTCTCTGACTAGTCTAGACAGGATCTTTTTGTTGCTTTCAAATTCCAAAGCCTACCCTTTCCTTACGTTGGTCTTTATATTTGACCTCATTCCTGCATGCTCTGAGAACACCCACAGCCTGCGGTTCTGGTTTGGAGCTCTTCATTTAGTCATAGGCTGGGTAACCATCCCAGAGAGTAATCTGAGAATTTCCATAATAGGAATGGACATGGATAGGCAAAGCAGTAAGTGATCCTGTCTATCTGAGACAATCTTATGTCTCTTAAATATGGTAAGATTGTTCAGTTCACACAATTGGACCCAGATACTGTCTAAAGAGCCTGTTCTTTTTAGACTATCCTAGGTTCATTAGGTAATTCATTAACCTCAAAATGAAGTTAACATTTCAAGGAATTGGACTCAGGGAATAACGTGTGAAATATGCTGAGCCTACTGTGAGTCTCCCTCATGCTCATTGCCACCACTGTAGATGAATTCTCATTGTAAAACTGTTAGAGATCATTTCGCATGAACCCTTCCTTTTACAGAAGAGAAAATGGAGGCTCAGAGAATTTAGGTATACAAGTCACAATATATATGTTTGTAGCTAAGCCAGGACTAGAACCCAGATTTTTGGACTCTGAGTAGAGACCCCTTTTTACTATACAGTTGATCCCAACGTGATGCCAACATACTGCAAGGCAGGCAGCGACAATGAGTGAATTGGGCTGGGAGTAGAAATTAGGGAGTAGTAGGGCCGTGCCGTCTAAGTGGGGCAGCCCCCTCAGCTTTAGCCTGTTGGTGCCATGTGGGCCTCTGGGTTGCCAGGACCTCTGATTTTTTTTCAAGGGATGGTAAAAATAAAGATTCCTGATTTTTAAATATTGCAGCAAATTCCTACTTTACTGTATGGATAGAAATTTGCTCAGCACACCTATTCTGCTCTAGAGCCATGCATTTGAAACCTCTGTACTTCACTCAGCAGGATATTTTTCTCATGTTTAGTTATATGGTCTGTCATTACTTCATGGGT